TGTGTGTGTGTGTGTGTGTGTGTGTGTGTAGAAAAAAGAACTATTGTTTCTTCTTTTTTTTCTTGTTGGTGGGCACACGCGCGTTCAGTCAATGCACGGCGCGGAAGGTGAGCAGCAATGTGGTGTTGACGCGGCGACACGCAAAGCTGTTGCCGGGGCGTGGGTGATGCAGAGCGCGCGGACACGCGACCTGGCACAGGAGGTGGCGTCAATACGGAAGCGGCACCAGCAGCAGCAGCAGCAGGGCCCCGGCGACGCTGGGCCCTCGGACGGCGCGGGCGGGGACGACGGCTCGGATGCCGATAACGACAGCTCGATTCTGTCGGTGAAAAAAATCGGATTTGAAATTTTGCTTCCATACAACAACGCCAGAATGGAGCCGCGGCATAGGCAGCTGGTGCGCGAGGCACAACGGCACACGGTGTCATCAGCACACGGCACGAGCGATGCGGTGGATCGCCGCTACGGCTCCTCGTCGCAGGGCAAGACGCGAGTAGTGTCACAACCTTTCTCCCACCTGCTGGTTTGCGACTTTGAGGCTACATGTGACACCGCCAGCGTGCACTACCCACACGAGATCATTGAGTTCCCCGTGGTTTGCGTGGACACCGCACGGCTCTGCGTCGTGGCAGAGTTCCACTCGTATGTGCGGCCGGTGAAGAACCCACGCCTGACGTCGTTCTGCTGCGAGCTGACGGGCATCACACAGGCGCAGGTGGACGCGGCGCCGACTCTGCCGGAGGTGCTGCAGCGCTTCACCGCATGGCTGCACGAGTCGGTGTACCCGCTCTGCCGCAGGTGGAAGCAGGAGCATGCAGAAGGGCTGAGCGGCTGTCTGCACTCACAGCAGCGGCACTTCGCGTACGACGAGAAACACAACGCAGCGTGGGTGGACTGCGAAAAGATGGTGTGCATGGCCACCGACGGCCCGTGGGACATGCGCAAGTTCATGTACGAGTGCAGTGTGCTGCGCGACGGGTATGAGTTTCCTCCGCTCTTCTACCGCTGGGTGAACGTGCGCCACAGCTTCGCCGAGCACTTCCGTAGCCGCCCGCGTAAGCTGACGGACATGCTGCGGAAGTTGGGGCTGACCTTCCACGGCCACCACCACAGCGGCATCGACGACTCACACAACATCGCCCGCATCCTCATCGAGCTGCTGCGGCGTGGATATCGCGTGCATCGTGTCAGCACGATCAAGTACGCTCACACTGGCGGTGACGTGGCAACAACAATGGCGGAGCTGCTGGAGGAGCTCAGTGAAGAAGATAGGAAGACACACCGCCGCAATGGTGAGAATAAGCGGAGACACAATGCTGGTAAGCGTACTCAGAGGCGGCAGTAAACACATTTTCTGCTCTCGCTGTTTTTTTTTTTGTCTACCTCATCTAATAATGACAGATGCCTTTGACTGCCTGTCACTACTAATATTATTACTATTATTATTATTATTCTGCCGTGCGCTCCCTTTGTAGATCTTGCTACTATCGCTACTGCCTTTTTTTTGTTTTGTTGCGGCTGCTCTCGCGCTTTGTGGGCATCGTCGTCCTCCTCTTAAGCGACAACGCCGCTGTGCACTCCGCGGGTGGGGAGTGCTAACCGCTGTTGTCAGATACTGTGTGAGCAGACGAGCAGCACACAGCCACAGACATATATACATATAATAGACTTACTCTTGATCAGGGTACCACACGTTGTGTCTGAAAACACACTGTGGCTGTAGCTATTTTATTGATCTCGTCCTGTGCTGAGATTTTTAATCGCCGTGCCAATGGACGCTAACGGGCGGGATCTCTTTCGCGTCAATGTGTCTCGAGGAAGTGGCGCTGACTCTTCGCTCACGGCATCCATCGCTGCACCCTCTACACCGCGCGGGGCGTCTGCGACGCCTCTCTCCACCCCTGCTGGTGGCGGTGCGCCGGCACACCACCAGCACTCCCAACAGCAACAACAACAACGGATTTCTATGCGCACGCCCCTTGGATCACCCCCGCTGAGTCTGAGGGGGGATTCTCCCTCTATTGTTCTGTCACACCCAGCGTCTCCGCCCCGTGTCCGCCCAACCGACGAACTCCCACCGACACGGGACGCTAATAACGTGATGCACAGCGCACCGACTGTCGTGAAGGAGGAGGAGAGCCTCTACCATTTGCCCACTTCGCAGTCATCTCCATCAGCAATACGATCACCGGTCCCAGTCGCACTTCCGACATTTGTCAACTCTGTTTCTAGTGGCTTCTCGGTGGCGCGTGCGCCGACCACCGTGTTTACTCCCACTGCGAAAGCAGACAAAGAGGAAATACCAATGCGGACCACAACGTGCCGAGTGTGCTCCTTGTGTGGCACCGCGGTGCTCCTCGTAGGGACCTTGGTGGAGCACCAACAGCAGTGGAAGGAACACGTGGGCTCGTGGGTGCACCAGCGAAACCTGCAGCTGCGCAGCGCGGCGGAGAACTGCGGTGCCCGGGCCCCAGCACGTGCCGTCGCGATGACCAGTCCGCCACTGTCGCCGACTGTGCTGAAGGCGTTGGAAGAGATCACGGCGTCACCGGTGGCAGCGGGAACGGACAACACCTCTGCTGAGAGTGTTTTATTCCCGCACAGTGCTCCTGAAGTAGCCGAGATGTTAGAGGCGCAAAGGAAATCGCACAAGTCTTTATCGCAGAATACAATGCGACACACTGCTTCTCCACCTGACGCGGTGAAGAATATGTATAAGGGACTATTCCTTGAGGGGAGCCGGCACGGCTCGTCAAGCGGCGATGAGGATGAGAAGGAAACCCCCTCTTGGGCACGCACGGGGGAACCTACCGCACAGGCGGGGAGGTGGCAGGAGAAGGTGATGCTGCAGGAAGAGCCTCACAGACAGCGGCATGTGTCGTTGCAACGGGTACACACAAATAATATGGGAACTGCCTCGCGAACAAGAAATCATCAGCAAGATAGTGGTGATGGTAGCTCTTCGACGGACTCCGCTCTTGAATCGCTGATCCAGAGGCGCGAACAGAAGAAAGAGCGACAGCTGGAGCGTACACTTACACGGTTTATGGTCAAGAAGGAACGCCAACAGCTACTTGTGTTGCTGCGCCGCTGGTATAACATAATGTTTTTACGCGTACTGCATAATTCTTCTTCTCGCAAGGAGGCGGCCACGGTTCCGACTGTTGCAGATCCTTCGGCTGCGAAACAGATGGATGTGAAGGAAAGTGAGGGTTGTACACCGTCCAGCGCCGCCGCGGCGATCGAGGGGAGCGATGATGCTTCCGTGCCTGCCGTTGCACCACAACCAACACCAGCTGAGGCACGACCAAATCGGTCGAAAAACCGGAAACCACATGAGAAGAGGACAACTGGAGCTTCAGAGCACGGAGCTCCGTTCATGGCGTCGCGTGTTAAGGATTTTGCCCACTTAGTGGGCAGCTCCTTTTCGAGCAGCGTGGAGATGGAGGTGGCGAAGACAGATGTAAGTTGGTTCATACACCGCACCACACCGAACCACCAACGCGAAGATGTTGAGGATAAGAGATCTGGGGGTGCATACGCGTGCTCATTGGGCAGCGACAGCAGCATTGAGGAGATGATCTCATCGCTTGCCCAACCTTCACAAGAGCGTGTGAGAGCTGCGCTCCAGGGCGAACCCTTGCGCTCGTGTGCGTTTCCCAAGACGTCAGAGGCCCTCGGCTTTCTTCGATCCTCTGTGACGACGGCTTCCTACTGGCCGTCTGGCTTCGTGGGTGGTAGTTGCGGGAGTTCCGCGTCGTATCCGATGGCCCATGTCATGCAGAGTGTATTGGAGGAGACGGGGCACGAGGGTCAAGAACGGCATCCTTCAGTAGCCTCCACAACAGTGAAGAGAAACACTACGGAAGAGACCTCCACGGATGCCTGCGCGCCCCAGGAGACGTACACTGCAACCCTTACCAGAGAAGCAGAAGAACAGCCGCTGTCTAGGGCTACGGATGTGGCAGCCGAAATGGTGCAACAACAGCAACGACAGCAAAAACAGCAGCATTCACAGGAACCCACGACGATAGAAACAGTAACAACAACAACAACAACGATTGCAGACGCGGCACAACATGCCTCCTCATACGCGGAGCGTTCTGTTGGACGGACGGCTAATGATACCAATAGTTGCGAAGATCCGTCACAAACGGTTCGGCATCTTGACCAAGAGGGACTTCTAAAGGAAAGTCAACTCACTCCTGCGGATGATCACAGCCCATCCCCACCGCTAGAACATGATGCTGGGGACTGCGATGTGGTCGGGTCACCCGACACAGATGGGTATCAGGGTTACGCAACAAACGTGCCGTCGTCATCATCGCCACCACACCGGGCTGCCGAATGCGATGGTTCATCACCACCACCACCACCATTGCACACTCGCCGTGGTCGGTGGACGCGTGACACCACAGAGAATGCCTTTAGAGGCGTTCCCGGTGAGTACTACTGCTACTACGACGGGGCGTACCACCACGTGCGGGACCCAACATCGGACATGTACTGCGACGCATGGGGCCAGCGGCTTCCAATGTACATCGTGCGCCGCGGCGAGTCGCCAGCGAGGTCGCCGACTCGTCGCAACTGGCGTCCAACGACACGCCCGCGCAGCCCGCTCGGTCCCAGCCGCCTGAATCCGTACTGTGACGTCTGCGTGGCACGGTACAACCTCGTTTGGGTCGGGGAGGACATGCAGCCGGTGGCACCCACACCGGCCCGCAAACGCAGGACGGCGAGCGAGACAGAACGGGGCTCTGCATGCGTATGCAGCAGCACGAGGGCGCAATCCTTGTCGTCATCGCCGCGGCGGCTGCGGCGACCAGATCCGCTGGTGTTCGCCCACCCGCCTCACCGAGGTTTGTCGGACGGCTTGCGCAAGGGGCGGCGTCGCTCTGCTGCTGCGGCGGTGCATCAGCAGGATGAGGTGCAGGAACAGCAACAGCAGGAGCAGCACGCACGGGGGCTGCAGAGAGATCTTCCTGACGAAGGCGACACTCAGCGTGATGGGCGCACTGCTGACACTTTGAGCGGTGCGACGGAGCTGCATAACACGAATGGCGCGTGGTCGAGCAATGACGGCGTGCGCGGTGTGATGCATGACGTTTCCCCGGAAGGCGAGGCGTGGCTGCGTCGGCAGGAGCGGCGGGTGCGGCGGCGCATGAAATTACTCCTGTGGCATGATCTACCGGAGAGCCGTGGGAGTCACCAGTGGGTGGAGTATCTCACGTCGCTGAAGGAGGCGACACAAATGTTAGAGGCGCTGCGGAGAGGGCGGACGTCAAGGGGGACTTCGTAATAACTCCCCTCTGTGTTACTCGTTTTGACCCCACCCCCTCGCATAGACTGTTGAGAATGATGGCTATGACGACCTGTGCGGCGCGGTCGGCCTTCAAGGTGTACGAAGGGGCAACAAAGACTGGTTGCTCTTCCTTGGCGAGATTGTGTATTGGTGTTAAGACCACAACACCTCTTGCTTCTTCAGTATATGTTTCATACTGCCTTTTTCCCCTCCCTGTGTACCTTTGGATCCTCTTCATTTTTTTTAGACATCTATAGATGCAGCAAGAGGGATTTGGCGCAGGTGCATCCTCGGCCAACGCCGCGGTGCCGTTGCTGTTCCACTTTGGCAGTGCTCTGACACCGCAAAGCCTCCATCGTGCGAGGTTCTATGTGAATCTCCTCGCCAACCCACCACCCCCACCGCACCCATTTGGCACTTTCCTCGAAGAGGCAGCACAGGTGAGAAGTGCATCACTTGCTGCCGTAACCTCGCGGAACGCTGCAGCACCAGCAGAAGTTGCTGAGGGTGAGGGAATAGCAGCAACAGCAAGAGACGATGACGCGGAGTTGCCGCCGTTGTTGGAGGTGCTGCAGCAGAGGTATGGTCACTCCCCGGGCTCCGCACTGCACCGCATGTGGGTCCAGAACCCACAACAGTACCTCTCGTCGATGGCGCAGCGGATCGCAGACCTTGTCACGAAGCGGGTGCTGCCTTTGATCCTGGGCGGCAGGCAAGAAGACCGACACGTATGCCTTGATGCATCCAACAACCACACGAACACTGCCGGCTCTGCGCAGGTGCATGCTAGCCGTTACGACATCCATGTGCGCTTTCTCCCATCACACACACCGCTTGCTATGATGGACGCCGCGCTCACGCATGCATTCTGCGCTGAGATCGTTGTGCGGGACGTGGTCGCGCTGCAGCGTCTTGAAGAGGCGGCGGAACTGCTGCGCGCACAGTACACGTCAGTTGCAGCGGAAGGGCAGACGGTGCAGAGCGCACTAGCCTTTTGGCGTGGTGTGGCGATGGACACCGTAGTCGAGGATGACAGCAGCCCAGCAGCTGACGGCGCCACGTCAGCCGTCGTACTTGGCCGCAGTAGTGACTATGCCGCGTCGAGACGATTCGGCTGCTTGGCTATGGAGACCGAAGCGGCTTCGTGGATACAGCCTTCGCCCAGTGGGCGTTCACGTAACGCCGCTGGCGTGGCTGCGATTAATTCGTCCCGTCAGCGACAGCGAGCGGCGCCACGGGCAGAGGTGGTAGAGCCGCCGAGGGCATTGCTGCAGAGTAGGGCCGGGCTTGTGGCAGTGCTCTATCTCGCGTTCAATGGTGCACTGTACACTGGCACAGTCTGTGGCGCGAGGAACGAGGGAATATCCCCACTGCCGAAACCCAAAGAGTCTGCAGAGCCACCACCAGCACCACCACCACCACCACCAGCGGCAGCAGCAGCAGTAGTGTCTCCAAATCAAGCTGGCGCCGACGCAGACACTGGCATTAAGGGTGTGGAGGATCCGGTTTTCTATCTCCCGTGTGCCGCCAGCACGAGTTTTGTGCGCGGGCTTCTTGGCCTGTAGCGCAGCGGAACCCTCATAGTTGTGCACCTTCTCAGCAACACAGTTAAATACACAAACACACCTAGATGCTCATACTATATGACCTCTTCAGCGTTGCGCTTTAATATATATATATATATATATATAGGTTGTTCCTCCTACACCTTATATTCCACTTCACTTCCCTTCTTCACTTTCGCTCGTGCTGCAATGACGCGGGAAGTTTGGCTTCAGAGAATAAGTAACCAGCGCGAAAACACAAATCAAGAAAGAAAAACAGATCCAAAGGAGAACAATAAAAAGAAAATGGCCATGTCAGGTGTTTCTGTCTCGGACGAGTGTGTCACCGCACTCACCGACCTCCGCCACAAGAAGAGCCGCTACGTCATTCTCCACATTGTCGACCAGAAGACAATAGCCGTCAAGGAGGTGGGCGCGCGTAACGCGACATTCCAGCAGTTGGTGGACGCCATCGACAAGTCGTCGCCGTGCTACGCCGCGTTTGACTTCGAGTACGAGACGGATGAGGGCAATCGCGACAAGCTCATCCTCATCAGCTGGAACCCCGACTCGGGGGCGCCGCGCACGAAGATGTTGTACAGCAGCAGCCGCGACGCGCTCAACGCACCGACGGAGGGCTTCCAGCCCATCCAGGCGAATGACCTGTCGGAGCTTGACTACAACGATGTTGTGCGCAAGGTGAAGTCGCACCGCAAGTACTGAGCCACTGTGTGTGTGTGTGTGTGTGTGTGTGTGTGTGTGTGCTGCGGCCACACGCAATTTTAGCGGGAAAATGAGTCACCACTGTGTGTGGGAAGTGAGAGGGTATGAAGCAATGTAGGGGATCATTTTAACAAAGAGAATATGAAGAAGAAATAGGGAGAGAGGGGAGAGGGATCAGGGCGAAAAATGCAAAAAAAAGGGGAACAGAAAGGAGAACGAGTATGACGCACAGCAGCCGGGGAGGAAGAGAAGGAGAGAAAGAGAATCAGAGGAAAGAAAAGGACTATACGATGCTGTGAGAAGACTCTTGTAGTGTCGGTGCTATTCACACCCACATACAACTAGAGAGAGTGCAAATGACCAGCCCTGGCGAAAAACCGAGAAAAAAAATGCACATCAGACAGAGACTCTTGTGCGTTGTTGGCTCTGTGCGTGTTCGTGGAAGCTTGTGCGCCTCTGTCCCTTCCGCTCACTCTTTCTTTTTTCGCTCTTTCCACCTCTCTCTCCCCCCCCTTCTCTCTCTCTCTCTCCTCTTCCTCTCTGCTCCTCGCACCGGCATCCGCCACACATGAGGCGGGACGAGGGTGAGGGTCGGGGGGAGAGGTGAGGCGGCGGGGAGGGCGAGGGGAGCGGAGGGATGCGACGAAAATACAAACGGAAAAACAAACAAACAAACATCAGCAGGAAAGTCTGAAAACGAAGCTCTGGTAACTGCCATTTGCTCTTCTGAACGGAGTGTGGACGGTGCTCGTCTACCTCGCACTTGACGCACATTTTTCTTGTTGTTTTTGTGCTTTTACTTTGTTTCTTTTTTATTTATTTTATATATTGCTGCTTTCTGGAGGAACGCTTCTAGACGCCTTGCTACGCTCGCTGCTGCATCCGGCAGCGTCTCCCCATTGACGCTCTTGCGCCTTGACAACACCCCGCGAGGGGTTGTGCAGCGAGGATATTGTTGGCTTTGCCGGTACTTTTCCTATTCTTCTCCTTTTTTTCTCCCCCTTTTCTCGCTTTATATATATATATATATATATGTGTGTGTGTAGCGAATTCAGCAGGAGGGCATTCCTGCCGTCATTGCTGCTGGGTGCGCCGTGGGCTGTGGCTGGCAGGCGGGTCTTGGGCGGCGCCACATGAACCCCTCACCGAAGGCCGCAGCGCCGCTGCTCTCCTCGGCGGGGATGAAGCCTCGCGCCTGCTCCGAGGGCGAGTCCAATCTAAACACCTCAACTGCGTCCATACAGCTGCTCCCCAACCAGTCACTGGGAATTTTGTGGAACCATATCTTCCCCTCCCTTATCGCGCCCTTCTTGTGCCCACGCGATGTGGCGCAGATGGCACTCGTGTCCCGCACTTTGTATCGCGCTACCGAGAGAACGCAGACGTGGAAATCTATGGCAGCAGTGTTGTTCGACATAAACGCCGACGCCGCCAAGAAACTGGAGGAACTTTACTGGGAGCTCTACCGTGAGGCGGAAGGATCACATGAGGCTTGCGGTCGCACAGGCAGCCCATCGTGCGAAAGCAATGTGCAGGCACTGAGTGTGCGCAAGAGGGAGTCCTTTTCTAGGCGTTTATCAGTGGACGAGGATGTATGGATGCTTGACAGTGAATCGACATGCATGACGTCTTACTCTTCTCTGCACGGTGGCACCTGCAGAGTTGAACAGCCTTTGGACCTCAATGAGAGTTTATTGATGAATGCAGGCGAAGTGGGGGAAGAGGGAGGGGAAACGCAGCAGGAGCAACAAGACGGAATCCTAGTGTCAATGAAAGATCGTGTGGATGTGCGCCTGTTGTACTCCCCTGTTTTGGAAAGTGATGGTGGTGAGCTGCAGATGGAGGCTGTCGACGTCACCATCAACGATGAGAGCAGTACCTCTGGCTGCGTCAAGGACGAAGAGACAGTTACAGCAGTCGTGCAGGACACGGAATGCCCGGACGAAGCGGACTGGCCGTACAATCTACCCAGTGAAGTCCACGTGTTCGCTCCAGAGCAGCAGTGCAGCGGCAGTAGCCCGTTGCCTTTGACACGACAGGACTTCTTGGATGTCAATACTTCACTGGTGCGGGAGGCACTGGAGTGCTGGACCGCCGTGAAGAGTGAGACTCTCCCGGTGGGACGTGGCTGCACAGTAGAGTGCGAGCAGCTCCTTGTGTGTGCGGCAACGATGACCCGCACGGCACAGCAGTGCCACATACCCTTTCCTTGGAGGGCGTACTGCAAGATACTGTACGAGCGGTGCGTGAGCCCATTCCTGGGCTTCCTTAAAACCGCGCAAATTGAAGCCAAGCGTGCAGAGGGACTTGGTGATCTGCATGCAGCCGTGGAACGCTTATGTTTTGTTGTTAACACAATCTGCCAGGGTGACTGCTCGGTCGGTGGCCGCGGTGCTAGGGAGGTGGTGCGCAGCGAGCTATGCCGCACACTGCGCTTACGCGCCCGCCTGTACCTCCGTCTGAGTGAGGCGGAGGCTGCACACAACGACCTGTGCCTGGCAGAGTTGCTTGATGATTGCCACGACGATGAGGTGGCTAACCACACGGCAATGATGCCCTCTGATCCAGATGGAAAATCGGTGGAAATCGAAGGAGGTCTTAACGTTTTTCCGCCATGTCTGGAGTCAGAGTACACACGCGTGGCGGTACACAAGGATATACTCCACCGTGCTGCTTTTCTCCAGCGTTGGCTGCGGCAACACGGACCTTCGGCACTCCTGTACCTGCTACAATACATGATCTGCGATGAACTCAGGCTTGGAGCTCCACACCTGCTGCAGCGAGCAGCGGAGTGCGCAACGACGTACGAGCGTCTGGTGGTTCAGGCTTGGAGGTCCTACGACCGGGAACTGTCTGAGGCTGCAGTGAGCGACGCGGAGCTTGGTGTCTCGATGCTGCCGCCGTCCTTCCGCGCATGGGCCGACAAGGAGTCGGCCGCGCTTTGTCGGCTGCTCGCGCGGGCAACCGAAGAGGAAATTCTGCGCTTTATTGAGGCCAAACCCTCAGGGCAGCACACTGATTTCCTTCCATCCAGTGCTGCCTTTGCTTACTTCTTTCTCGGTGTCATGGGACAGACCATCGCCGGTGTGGCGATGGATGCCTTGACAAAGTTTGTGGTTCTGAGTCCCTCCAATTATCACCGGGCCGTAGCGCTCCTTTTGGTGGCACAGGAGTACGTCGAAAAGGGTGACACGCAACGCTGCATGTGCCTCCTGCAGGTGGCACTTAAGTTAAACCCCACATACTACCCCGCGTACAGTTTACTTGCGCAGCAGCAGGTGCTCCATGGTGACATGTCTGGCGCATACACGACGCTCAGCATGGCCATTCAGCATTGCCACCCTATTCCAGCGGAAGCGTTTGTGAGGCGGAGCAGGTGCTCCCTTCGTGATCCACTGGATGACGTTAATGCGGCGACAGACCTCCACCCGCGACTCTCATACCCGTACAGAATACGCGCAGCCATGTTGATGGATAAAGGCGACAGCGAAGCCGCCATCGCGGAGATCAGCCGCATTATTGCGCTGACGTCAGACCCCAATGATGTGATGCTGCGCTTGACGTTCTACCTGGACTCGGGCTGCCGGGAAGGAGCCCTTGATGATCTTGCGCTCCTTGTTTTGCTTGCGCCTCAACAGGAATGCTATCGCGACTGGTTTCTCCGATCCACCGCGTTTTTTGCGTGGGGAAATGAGGGTTGCAGTATTGCCACCGTTAAGCCAGGACTCGGCAGCACGCGCAGAAGCCGTACGCGATTCTCAGCGCTCCTTCTGGCCCTTGGCCTGCGCCCAGATGATGCTTAGGCCGCTCCATCAGTATATTGGAAAAAA